GTGTAGTGTGTTCAAATGCAACTGACACAGGGCGACGTGAGGCGACGTAGACGACGCAACAGTTGGCTTTCGTTGCCGCTAGTTTTTTGATGTCGGTTTGGTGTGTCCACACCTTAAAGTTACAGAGGCGGATGGAGCCTTCTGTCTGTACGCTGCCTTAATTTTGTCTGTGTTTGTGCACGTTTTCTGAAAGCTTACAAACCAAACAGAGCAGAACCACTGGAGATCAGTGAGGCAGTGCAGCACAGTTTAAGTGAGATACGACCGTAGGAGACGACAGACACGTTAAAAATGGCGGAACGGATTAAATCTGTAATCCAGTGAAAATAATTCTCCATCCACATGTCACAGTCTACAACACTGCCTCTGTTTAACAGTACAAAATCACGACCTCCTCCACCGTCGCCTCGTTTTTTGTTGTGTGAAACTTCCGACTGCGCCCTCCAGTGCCATCTACAGACAGATCTATGAATATATAAGTCTCAAGTGTGAAGGCAGACTGAGAAAGGCCTCGTCTCTCCTGGGAGGCACAGCTCAGGGCAGGACAAGCCCAGGAGCGTCCGTGGGTTCAGACTGAAGAGCTGCGTCACATTTTGGGATGGAGTTCTTCATTTGGAGTCTGTGTACTTCAACATGTACATAAGTACTACAAAGCTACTTATAAATATACTCGACACAATCACTTAGAGAAACACACAGAAATATACGTATAAATATAAATATAAATATAAATATATATATATTCTAATGTTGGACTTTATAGATGCTCTGGATGTTTTTATTTATTACAGCATGAACTGTTCATGTGAGTGTATGAGACTGTGTGTGTGTGTGTGTGTGTGTGTGTGCGTGCGCGCTGCACAGACTGTAAGGTCGAGTCTTAAGGAACCCCTCCCCCGACCTCTGACCTCTGACCTCTGACCTGTTTTTAGACAAAACAATCATAAACGGAGTGGATTAAAACGTGACAGTTGTAAATGTGAGTGTCTGCATGAAATGTTAAACTCTGCTCACAGAGCTGTGATGTACCTGTGATGATGTCACAGGTCAGAGGTCAAACCAGGGTTCCCCCTCAAACTTTATTTTTTAAGCGCATCCGTCAACTTTTCAGGGCGACAGTGACGGCCGACGCAGCAGCTCGGACGGCGACAGGTCTCTCCGGAAATGACTGCGTCTCTGCTGCTGTATCCTGCGACTGCTCCACAGCACTTCCTGTATTGTTTTTTTTTTTTTTTTTTTTTTTTTTTAATGGTGTGCTTCTCTTTGGCACAGACTGAAAGATGCTGTGTCGTCAAGGCAACCACAACTTCTAGGACTGAGCATGAGCTTTCCTTATAACCAGATGTTTGACAAGTTTTTCTTTGGCTTGTTTTCAGTTTGACCTGAAATAAGAGATATTCTCTTCTTCTTCTTCTTCTTCTTCTTCTTCTTCTTCTGCTTCTTCCTCTTCTCATTCTTCTCCTTCTTCTACTACTTCTTTTTCTTCTTCAGCTGTTGCAGTGAAGCTTTGCATGAGTTTGTATTTAATTGTTCTACATTTCAAGACCTTTAAAATGAAATCATTAACATTATTCTACCAGTCAGATGAATAAATCAGCTGTTTGCTACTTGTCTCGGTCTGTTTCCTGTTGATCCGTCATTTTTTAGTGTCCCCCTGGAGACAGTTCAGTCTGTGCTCCCAGCACAGTTTCTATCTGGTTGCCTCCATGTTGCTGATAGTCATGACTGGAGGCTTTATGTTTCAGGGTTGTCTGTCAAGAACGCCTTGCGGGAATTTCTTAAAATTTGGCACAAACGTCCACTTTCAGTCAAGGACAAACAGATTAGAACTCTGTAGTCAAAGGTCACTGTGACCATGTGAGCATTTAATTCTCGTAACTGCAATATATCAAGGACACCTTGAGGGAATTTAGTAAAATTTGTCACAAACGTCCACTTGGACTGAAGATTAAACTGATTAGAATTTGTTGGTTGAATGTCACATGTCAGTGTGATGTCACAAAACATGTTTTTGGCCATAACTCATGAACTGGTGCACATACAGGAGCGGTAAGTTGAGGCTTACATTAGCATATTTAGCAAGCTAATGCCTAGCTAACATTAGCTTAACAGCGTATCAGCTGAGTAAGGACGTTTTTAAAAAATGTATTTTCACTTCTAAATAAAAAAAAATGTAAAAAGCTTTTGTGAGTTTTGTAAATTTAATATCAACATTACATCTGTGTTCGACACATTATGACTTGTTCAGGACTCAGGACATGTCTGCTGTCTGCTTTTGTTTCTTGAAGACTGAAATCTGCTGCCTTAGCAACAGTAACTAAGGGGGGAGGAGCTTATCGAGGGCTGAGTTACCGCGAGACCAGGAGCAGGAGGAGCAGGAGGATCAGTAGAGGAGCGGAATGGAGGAGGACAAGCAGAACCCGGAGCACCGGAGCAACAAGGTCCGGAGAAGACAAGCAGCAGGCTCGTCCTCTGATAGCAGCGATGTTGAGGTGAGTGTTGATGACGTCATGGATAAAAAGGGCTTGACAGCAGCCACACTAAAGACACGAGGAAGATTCTCGAGGCTCCGTGGATCATCCGCTCATTCTTTGGTTCCACATCACATCTGGAGAAAGGAAATGTAACAAAGCAAAAAGGTTTGGTGTTGGCGGGTTTTTGTTTGTTTTTACAGATTTTCCCGCGTGACGCGTTGTGTGTTTTCGCGAGGGAGCAAACGGCGCCCTCTCAGGGACTGTTCGTTACTTATTAGGATGGAGGGGTGATGCAGAAAGGGGAGGTGTATCAGGTGTTTCTCAAAAAATACATTTTACACAGCAGATGACTAAAGATAAACGTGGAGCTGTAGAGGCTTTAACAGGTCAACGAAACATCACTGTAGTGAGAAACAAGGCGAACAGAATGAGATGATGGGGCACCACATACACACACACACTCACTCTTTTCTGTCATGTTACACTTTGTACGCTGTATTGATGCATTCTCTTATGTTTATTCTTAAAAACAGTTTTCACAGCGTGACGAGGAGGAGATGTTTCAGAGAGACAGAAATGCAAGAATAAACGCCGTTCACAGCAACATCAACCTGTGTCTGTGTTGTTGTGAACGGAGCTACAGTGTTATTATTACTGTCTCCATGGCAATGATAGAAAGGCGGAATTTATACTTCTGCGTTGAAGCTACGACATAAGCCTGACGTGCACCTCCCCAGAAATGTATCTACAGGTCGCAGTGTCGCAGACCTCCTGTCTGTCTCTGTAAGCTGAAACCATTTCCCTCAGTGGAAACAAAGCTTTGATTTACTTTAATTTCACAGATAAGAAACAATAAATTGTGAAGACAATAAAGCCTCCACTAAAATAGCATTTTAAGTCTTGTGTGTGATTTATCCTGGCTTCATATGAGCAGAGGAAATCTCTCTAATTTAGGCTAATGTAAAGTGCCATAGGCTTGTGCTAATAACGTTAGCATGTTGTATTTGTTTAGAAAACGTGTTTAGTATAAGACAGTTGTTTTGTCAGTGAACCTTGTGAGCTGTAATGGAGCTGAATTTTGTAACGTTACCTTTGGTAAATGTTGCTGTTGTCCCTGGCTTCATATGGGTAGAGGAAAAGTTTGCTAGCTGCTAGGCTAATTTATACAATGTAAAATGCCATAGGCTTGTGCTAAAAACATTAGCATGTTGTATTTGTCTGGAAAATGTGTCCAGATAAAGACTTGTTTTGTCTGTGAATGCAGAGTGACACAAACACACCACCGCACAAGTATATATGCTCACAACGGTGTAGGCTACGTGCGTAGGGTCTGTCACACAAGTATAAATCCTGCTAAACACCACCAGTCACATAGCGATACAAAATATGATGTCGTCTGCGATATAACATTCTTTAAGTGCACGATATATCGAGTGACTTTCTTCTGTTGAAAATATGTCATGTCTGTTACGTCATGATCATTTAAAGTGTCCCACCATAACTCAGGCTTCTCTCTCTCTGTTTGTCTGTTGCTATAGAAACCAAGTGGAAGAGACGGACTAAAGCGTCACTGCTGTCCTTTCTGTGACAAATCCCTCACATCATCCAGAAATTTACAGCTTCATGTAAGAATTCACACCGGAGTGAAACCATACAGGTGTGACCACTGTGAGAAAGCTTTCACCACTCAGGGTCAACTACAAATCCACCTACGCACTCACACTGGAGAGAAACCGTACAGCTGTGATCAGTGTGGGAAATCTTTCACTGCTCAAGGTCAACTAAAAATTCACCAACGGACGCATACAGGAGAGAAACCATACAGCTGTAATTTATGTGGGAAAGCTTTTACTGGATCAGCTGACCTGAAAATCCACCAACACATTCACACTGGAGAGAGACCGTACAGCTGTGACCAGTGTGGGAAAACTTTTATTCTGACTTATCAATTAAACATCCACCAGCGTGTTCACACTGGAGAGAAACCACACAGGTGTGAACAGTGTGGGAAAAGTTTTTCTCACAGTGGCTATCTGAAAATCCACCAGCGCATTCACACGGGAGAGAAACCATACAGCTGTGAGCAATGTGAGAAAGCTTTCAACACAAAGAGTAACCTAGAAGTCCACAGCCGTGTTCACACTGGAGAGAAACCCTACGTGTGTGGCCAGTGTGGGAAAGCTTACAGCACTCAGGCGAGTCTAGAAAGACACCAGGGTGTTCACTCTCGAGAAAAACCACACAGGTGTGAACAATGTGGGAAAGGTTTTTCTCACAGTGACACTCTTAAAGTCCACCAACGCATCCACTCAGGAGAGAAACCGTAAAGCTGTGACTAGTGTGACAAAGTCTTCATCACTCAAGGTCAAGTTAGCTGTGTCCTCCCGCCTCATCTACATGCTCTTATAGCTGTGTTGTTATACTCTGGGTTTCTCTCCATAATGAGAGCTGGCCATCAGTATATAACTAGGGGCTGGTCTAAGGTGAGCCTGAGCCAGCCCTAACTAAAAGCTCCAGTCCAAACTATAAGCATCATCAAAAAGGAAAGTCTTCAGTCTAGTCTTAAATGTGGAGATGATGTCTGCCTCCTGGACTGAAACAGGAAGATGATTCCACAGGAGAGGAGCCTGTTAGCTGAAGGCTCTGGCTCCTGATGCACTGCAAATGATTTCCTGCGGAGGCGCTGAGCTGCCCGCCAGACTGAGTGTTAAAGAAACTTGAAAAAGTGCTTCCAGAATTCCTGCTAAGGGTTTTCTTCTTCTGTGATGGGCACGGTGCCTCCAATGAGCTCTTGAGGGTCTGTTTGTGTTTCCGAACCAACGATGAAGAATCCAAATCATTTCAAACAGCCGCGGGCTTGACTGCAAAAATCAGATTTCTAGAGAACGCTTGATTCCTTTTTTACTGTGTCAGTTTTATTTTTATGTGTAGCTGCGACAGAGAGTAATTTGTGTTATTTTAACAGGGACCTCACAACCAATCAGAGTGCTCGATGCAAAGTGCTGCACAAAGAAGACAAAGACTGATTGATTTTATAGGGATTTTTAAGAATGGGTGGTAAAAAAGAGCCTGACCATTCAGAGCTCTGTAAGTTAGGAGAATGATTTTACAGGGAGCCAGTGCAGAGAAGCTAAAACAGGAGAAATATGACCTTGTTTCTTAGTTCCTGTTAGTACACGTGCTGCTGCATTCTGAATTAGCT